TCTGTCGAATTAACACTCTGGAGAATCCATGTGTTGCGGACGATTCTTGACCCCAACACTTTTTAACATATAACATTAGTCGCTACGCTGTAAAGCTGTTATTTTTCATCCATTTTGCTTTCACTGAACCTTTTAAGACAGGTTTTTGTTACTTGAAACTATTGACTAAGCACAAACCAAAAAGCCAAAGTTCTGAGCGGAAGGGAGTTTGTTGTAAACGTTTTCCTGTGTTCTAAGGAGACTGGCAGTTGCCAAAAAAGTGCTATATAAATAAACCTTATTAGCTCTCATTAGCCAGCCACACCCAACCATAGCTTGGACAACTGCTGAGGCTCGAAAACGCGACTTGTTGGTTAGAAGTCCAACAATTTAACCATTGAGCCAGAGGCTTGTTGTCTTGTCGGTCGCGATGGGGTATATTAACAATGGTAAGTGGGATGTGAGAGGGGATAGAAGCATTATTTTCGTTGTTTTCATTTTAGGAGGTTGGGAATAATAATCAAAAATATTGTAAATTTGGCCAAACATAATAAACTTACTTTGGGTCTCATGACGAACATCGGGACGCGGGTTGAATCCTTGCTCTTATACATCAACTGGCGAACCTCGAAGTTGGACAAATCGAGCCCCTTCACTTCGTTTTTAAAGACAACCTTAAAAGAGTGAGGTAGAGGGTTTCGGGTAAGTATGAAAACAGTTGCTAGTCGATAATGCACCCACACATACGTGGGTACAAATATACAGTAAAACACGTAACTTATGAAAGTCTTTATCGAAATGCTAGTTGTTAGTTTAGCATATGATTTGTCTTCTTAGTTGGAATTGTTGAGTTAATTCAATGGTCAGTCAGTATCAGTCAGTATATTTTGAGTAAATGGCCGAAGCCCTTAAAAACTCCATTGAAACGGTACAGGAATGCACACATTTTTTGTGAAATATGCAAAAATTGTTACAGATCGCTTTTGTTGTGCAAAAGTGCATATAAAATATTTTGGAAATATGTCATAAAGTAAAGAAAACTGCATGTCCCGTTTTTATATTGAATGAAAACAGGGGTTTGTCGCAATCAGAGGTTGCCGACTATTCAAAACATTTTCTATGCTGTTTAATAGTATCCAACAAAACCCTCTGCTTTTGTGTTGCGCTATAAAAGAACACCAATGAAAGCAAGTAATACATTTTAAACAAAGACCTTTTAGACCCGGTAAATTTGGTCGTAACTTAGTTAAAATCAGGTGGAAGCTTTGTATTTCAAAAGCAGGGAATGAATTCGAATTTTTTAAAATTATTTTTGCCAATGTGTGAAGATTTTTCTCACAAAACGCAATAATAAACTTGTCTCTTTTCCTTTCTCTTCCTCCTGAAATAGCAGGACATGCTAACAGTCATGACTTGGGAGACGACCAGCCGACGCGATAATTCGATCCTCATCAACTCTGTTTGCAATGGTTCCTACTCGCTGGAGATCCGAGACCTCTAGGAAAGGGGACCGATATATTTCGTCAGTTGGTAACCATTACCGCTTTTAGCGCACCATGATAGATTCAAGCGCGCGTGATTGATTATAACGCTTCCTTACAAACAAAGCTAAGAAACACGGCACGCGATCCGGGAGAAGGCGGTTTTTTGCTTGCGGTGATGAGAGAGTTGAAAAGAAGGGCGGCTGAGAAGCGCCACAAGGCTGCATTCGCTAAATATTTATGGAAATTGGACGATCATTGGGATTAGTCATTCCAGGGCCAAATGGCTACCCAAGAAAATTAAGTTTATAGATGTGAAAACGATGAGCACAAGTAAGGGAGTTTCCCCGTCTTGCAGACAAACTACGTGGGTGATGTTTAATGGCTGAGAGAACAAAAAATGGTGTAAAAAACTTCACAAAAAACCAACACGCAATTGCCTGCGACACACCACATTAGGTAACCCACACCTAGTGAGGTCAGGCCAACGCAACTACATTTTACGACGCATTTAAGGACTAACGTCGTTGTTTTCTGACCTCTGACTCATGTGCTGCGGAGCCTATTTATTATCAACAAACATTAAGGCCCACAAAGATGGGAACGAACAAGCGAGTTCCATGAAATAGTTCAAGAAAATATGCAATCGCTGACCTCCTGTTTCAGATTTGTGGCGGACAGCCACAATGCCTATCCCCCCTTCGTATTCTAAGGCTCGTTGCCCCAAAGTCATGTCGTCACAAACAACCGCTACAATGCTTTCTTTCACTGGCGCCCCCGTCCCCCGAGGCTTGACCTTGCAGCTGCTTCTGGCTAACCGATAGCAGTTGCGTCAACGTCCCCTTTTCTTCGGCGTACCGGCGGACCCGACATTCGACCTTAGCTTACTCAGTCTGTACACACGTGCGTCCAAATAAGTACGCCTGCCCAAGACACCCCTCGGCCGATGCAGCAAAAACCTTTGCAGGCGACATCCCCTCGAACAACTTGCAACACACCAATGTCAAACTACTTGAAATCGCTCCGAAATCTCACCAAAAACAGCCGTCATCACCCCACACAAAACTCAGTCGACTTTCTCAGGCCTGGCTTCGGCAGTGGCCATTGTCGGCTGAGACAGTAACCTAGAGTTCTGTGCACAATAAGACCCTTAGTCTGGCGACTCTTGCCTTTTACCTCAAACCGGGGATTCAACCTGATGACTGTAGTGATCTAAGGCAAAACAATTACTTTGAACGCTACAAATTGGTGACCCCGACGTGATCCAACCACGACTTAGACCGCTACAAATTCGTAACCCCGAAGTGATCTAACCACGTAACAAGCTTCTGAGATGGCTGATAACCTCCGCAAGAAATTCCAACTCGACTTCACCGTACTGTTTTCCCTTTGTCAATCATCTTGTCCATGGATAGGGAAACGCGGTTGCCGACACGCTGTCGTGAAGCGAGATTGGCGTCTTCAACAAAACTCAGCCATGTAACGGGTTAACGGCAGACTTACCTTCTTGGTCGCAGTGTCTTTTGTTAGGTCATAGGAAAAGGAAACGCCAGGCTCCAGGAAGGAGGTGAACTGGAAGAACATCTAAAATGTGAGAAAACAAATTAGCGGCAATCAGGACTTTCGGTCAGAAGAAGAGACGAACAGTCACGAAAGTAAGGCTAATGGCAGTAACAGCAGCAGCAACATTTGAAGGCGGCCATTTTCACACAGGTGTTAAGATGATTAGAAAACAAGAAAAGGCTTTTCAACTATCCCCGAAACAGAAAATTTCTCAGATTGAACTCGGGAGTCTAGCCTTACTTGGGGACTGCCGTCTAGTGGACGCAGTTCAGATTGATCACTATCGTCCACAAAAGCAAGGTAAATGAGAATATCATTTCTGGTTAATATTCCGCCGTCGGTCATCCACACCCAAACCGCAGATCTAAGCCACGACCCAACGGCCATATTTGACGGAGGACCTGTACCCGGGTGTCAGGACAATAAATTCCAGCCCTCTCATCAAGTCCGTATTCTGTCCTGTACTCTGGTTAGATATATGAAAACCACTTGAGATGTAGTTAGTGGAGCTATTGGGCGTAAATGTGACTTATTTCGAGGCCAGATCTCAAATCTGCCCAGCATGGGGTTTGAGTTCAGGCGGTTAAAAATCGTAGGTTGTCATTTTGGTAGTTCGATTCCTAGTCGACATGTCTTTCCGATTGGCTGCTTATCCACATACAAAATATCGCGCAATTAAATAAACGAAAGTTCATTAGAGTTTCCTCTAAACGATCGATTTTAGTTAGTGGCAATGTATAAGGTCCCAGAACACTCTTTTTGTTACTATCGACGGGGCGAGGTTAACACCTTGACCACCCTGTGAATAGTAACAGCAAGTTGCAGGTTTACTGGGAACAACAAATTATCCACGCAGGCATTTGACCTTGAGCCCTATACTGCTTGAATACTGCTCGCCCCTACTCAGTCTTCTGCACACTAGTGAACATAAGAAAATAGAATCGGTCCAGCACTTCCTCACTACAAGAGTTTTCACTTCAGAACACCGTAACTCAGACTACCAACAACGATGTGAACCTATAAACTCGATCCCTTGTGGCTTCGTTGATTACAGAGGGGTCTTTTTTACGCAATAAACTTTTGAATGGCCGCATCTTTAATCCCCTCAGTACCATAAGGCACCTCGAGCACTCTCGGCGCCAAAGGTGTGCTTTTATTTCTTCCTATTGCACGCACAGTTAGGTACCGTCAATTCTTTTCAGTAAACGCCATATTTATCTGGAATAAGCTGCCCAGAAGTGTTAAAACTCAGCAAAGCTACCCTTTGCTTAAGAGAGCTATCACTAGTTTTCTACATTCAGGACAACTTCCACGAATTTGACTCGGTGGAATCTCTCTTTCACTCTGATGGCGTTCGTGGACTTTGAATTCTGCCAGGCCTCATGCTGAAAATAATGGTGCTGAATCTGCGGCCCGCAATCGGCTAATTCTTCAGCCGACAGCGAGCGACTTTTCGCCGACAAACATTCAAGGAAGACTGAGAACACTGTGTTCCTGTGTCAACCCTCCCCGTCCTGAACTAATGTCCCTCAAGGATCTGTAGCTTTTTTCTGCTAAACTGTCAACTCAACTTATAACTGCACATACCTTCCGTTAGTATCGTACCTCTGAAGTCAAGTTTTTTTCACTTGAAACAAACTCCATATTTCGCCCAGTATTTAAGAAACACAAAATTAAAACAAAACCATAGTG